AAGTTTTAGTAATAGAAGATATTAAATCTTTCCTTTATTTATAGTCTCAATATAATCAACCGCTTTCGCGTATACTTTGGAAACTGAATAAGTTTCTTTGAGACTTACTACAACACAATACCTTATTGGTAATTAATTGTGTTTCTCCAAAATAGTATAATTGGCTCTTGCAGAGTTCTCAATTAATTTTGTAGTACCACATATTCATCAACACCCATATGGTGAATATCTCTTTTAAAGAGAAAGTTATACCATTATGGTTATGGTCAAAATTATATGCAAGATCTGTTTCTTGCATTACCGTTGTCTTTTAACAATCACAATGCCAAAATATTTTGGCGTACAATAGGTACGTGACCAATGACCATTCATGCCATAATAATGACATTATTTTCTTATATCATCTCAAACCTCCTTTTAGAGGTGAGTGCGGTATATTCACTACTACTAGCACGTTCATATTCTTTGAAGAATGAATATGTATTCATAAATCAGATGTAGTCACATTCACATCATGAATGGACCATAATCATCTATATGTGCTTTACAAAATCTCATATCAAATCGATGACAAATATTTTTCACAGAGTGAAAGATTATTTTGAGAATCCTTATTGTTCTCATTACCACAAATGATGACGATTATAATTTCGTCTATTGCCACGTCCATATCCATTGATACATTCATAGTAATAATTTTGTCTTCTTTCAGACTTATCACATACTGCTATCACATTCTCTTAAGGGAATGAGAATGGAGCAAATTCAATGGGACGTGTTTTCAATTCTTTGCCCACAATCATACATGAATTTGATCATGGCGAGGCATAGAAATTTTACCACTTCAGGTGGTTATAATTTCTTACAAACTCCATTAGAGTTGTAATCAAACTTTGTTGTCTTTGCTTGTATTTAAAATCAAAGTATAGAATAAAAGAGAAAAATACGGTAAAATACTTACCTTAAATCCAGAATTTAATCATGAAGGAAGTTCATGGAATAATTGACAATCATTTTGCTCAATCCCAAAGCTTCTACTCAATTGGTTAGAGTCTCGTGCTGATAACGTGTTATAAAATAATAAAAGAAGAAGAACAATACTGCAGAGAAAGAGAGAGAGGGAATTCTTACTGAATTTTGGGATGAGTTACAATGGAATAGAACCCTCTATTTATAGGGAGAGGGTGACTTAGCCACCAAGTAATAAACCCTAGAATCTCTCTAAATATAGACATTCACCATAAATAAAATTCTATTTATAACAGGAATAATAATATGTCCATTAGCAAACAATGTGAACATCCCTGATCGAGTGAGGATTTAGGAACAAGAAGATTAGAAATCTGCGGAATATTCGAGAAGGAGAAGAAGAAGAAATACAATGTTTATGGCTGGAAAAACTAATTAGGCATTCAACCTTTTTCTATTTACTAGTTTCTCGACACGTGCGTTGCACGTGTATGCCGAGCTATGTGGTACATAAGTTTGTAAAATACTATAAATATAATTAAAATATCGATTTGAGTAAATAATCAAACATAAAAAAATGTACAAATTTCTATGGAAAAAAAACTGTGTAGATCGTCCTATGGTGAATTTCTTTGTCGATGTCAAGATGATTGTGTTTGAGCCTACATAGACGAACAATCAAAATTTAATTAGATACATATGATATATTTACTTATTTTAATTTTGTGAGGTACAATCTAATGAAGCATCTCGTCTAAGTGATAATTTTGTATAGTACATCAAAATATTTTTCATGCCTGAAATTTAAATTTACTTTTCATTTGTACTCTCTTCTTTAAGTCCATCCTGCTCCAATCAGAGGTGGAGCCAGAATTTCAAGCTTATGGGTTCAGGATTTTAAACGTTTTAAGTTATTGGGTTCTAAATTAATAATTTATACATATTCAATGAATTTTTAAGACAAATATAGGGTTTGAACCAAAGCTATTGGGTTCGGCCGAACCCGCTAGTGGCACTCTAGCTCCGCCCCTAGCTCCAATAAGTGGTTTTCGTGTTACTAACATGCAAACTACATCTAAAAGGTCTGAGATTAAAACATTAGTGGTAAGTATTAATTAATTGTGTACAAAAATAATTCATAAATTTCAATAAATAAGTACCAAATATAGTGTCATCACAAAAAACTTCCCGCCTCTTTCAAGAATACAAAATCATTTGAAATATTTTTTGGTGGCATTGTCATTGGATCATTCATTTACAATGGTGTTGTTAGTAAAAGTTATTTCAACTTCTTTGTGCACTAAAATGTAGTTGGGGTTAACACGATTTAATCAATCATTATTAATATGTTATATTTTGTGACTTGTTGTAGGAACACATTATTTTAATTTTATTTTGAGTGCCATTTTAACTGAACATAATATGATTAGGTAGAGAAAGCAAAAGAAGTATAACAATAATAACAATAATGTGTGTGTATATATATGTGTACATATATTTTGTACTTTCCACGTGAATCATGATCAACATTCTAATTTGAGATAGAAAATAAATTAAAATAATCTAACGATGGCGGTAGGTATTATTTTGTAGTGAGTATATTAAAATATTTCAATTAAGTAAAAGGAAAAATATTACTAGTTATGTGACCGTGTAATCCAAGTAACTTGTTAGAAGAAGGGTGTAAAATATGCAGAATATTAACTAAAAGAGTTAAGTTTTTGTTATTAAAAAACACCAAACATCTCTGAACAAAAAAAAATATTGAGAAGTAATTTTTTCTTCATGAGCGCTTGTATAGGGACAATGACAAGTTCTTAAACAACGCACAAAACCAATATTTCAAATTTCATGAATGATATCCGAGAACTGTAATCTTTTAAATGGTCTAATTTCATAAGGGATATTATATCTTCTGTGTGACATTTAAAATCTAATACACCTAGGAACAAAGCGATATTCTATAACTTTGCATCAAAACTCATCAATTGAATCTTAATTGAATGAAACTTTATTTATCGTATTCATTTTTTTGCATTTAAATTTTAATGTGCCTAGAAAAACCTAAAACTATTAGCACTTTAAAGAAATCCTCCTCCATTTTTTAGGATATTTATATTTAGAATCTCTCTTAAACCATATATTAGGAAATTTAAAGGGATGGTTCAGTTGTAAAATACAGTGGATGACAAAAAAAAAAATATCAGCCAAAAGTCAAAATAAAGTAGCACTAATTTTCACTTGGCTTTTCCTTCACTTTCACCATCAAATATATTTCTCAATTCTCATTACTGTAAATATAAAGCTTCTCGTGGAGAAAAATAAAGTTTTCATAAATTTAATCTACAAACAAGCATACATCTCTCATTCCCACCATATTAACAGATATAAGGTGATCATATGATTATCGAACATGTATGTTGGATATCTTTCTTTCAATTTATTTGTCCACCATAAATTTATCACTAAGATTTTATATTTGTCATAAAATGAGATTATATGGGGGAAAATGGAGATAGAACAATTGGCATATTCTGTTCTTTCGGAAAAAAGAATGGAAAATAATGGATTGAAGATTCATCAATTTAACGTTGAATTTTAACATTAAAATTTTACAGATTATAATATATAGTTCTACTTTACTTCTTTGATAATCTTAGAAGGTTTACGATCATAATAGTTTATTGTACCATTTTTTATTCTTTCACAAGAACTTTAATTTATTCTCTGTTCTACTTCTATAAAATACGGAAGTCATAAATTTTTTTCTCTCTCTAGTATATTAGACCATTCTTATGGTGCTTTTGTTGATAATAATTTAAATTAAGAGACAACATTGTAATAGGATTTTTGTAGTATAAAATTATACTACAACATCACTTTGAGAATATACACTCTTTACACCAACTTGAGATTATGAGAGTAAGCAATTTTTATATTTAGATATTGGTCAAGGGTAAATATTCATAAAAAATTTCTCTCTCTAGTATATTAGACCGTTCATATGGTTCTTTTATTGATAATAGTTTCAATTAAGAGACAACAATATAATAGGATAGTTGTAGTATAAAATTATACGACAACATCACTTTGGGAATAAACAAGTTTTACACCAACTTCAGATCACGATAGTAAGAAACTTTTATATTTAGATATTGGTCAAGGTTAAATATTCCTTTGTAATTGAAAATATATCATCACACAATTTAAAAATAAACATCACATGATTTAAGCATGTAAGTGTGCAACATATATATTTTTGTCAACTAAATGTTTTTTGGCAATGAAATAACAATTATAAATATATCAAAATTATAAATTTAACATGCATGTCAGGATCATCATAAGTCATGTGTCCTAATATTTACAAAAAATAAATTTCACAAAAGTCACAAAAGGTAGAAATTTATAAATAAATAATAAAGTGAAGTTAAGAAAATAGAACCCGACTTTTATTGAGTCTCATCTAAGAGACTTGCATATTATTAAAGACCGCAACCTTTCGTCTTTGTTTCTTATTTTTTTCTTCTGTCCGCAAGATCTAAGTGAATTATTTATCTTCTAAATATGTTAGATAGACTCCATTGTGTAAGACGAAGATCCACAAAACAGCAACCAAATATAGATTTATCCCACATGTAGATTTTGCCACAACATAATTCTTGACAAATATAGATAGGAATGAATATAAATTAGATTTATCGTGTCTTTCCCTCCTTTAGGGTCATTTAAGGAAGCAACGGTTGACATTAGTAACTAATACTACTATGAAAGGTTGCACCTCTTCAAATAAATTTGGTATTTTTTTTTAAGCAGAAAATTTAAATTAAGTAGAAGGGTAATTATGTAATTCAACTTTTCAGTTAAGGCCTTCCTACTTTTAATAAAATATAGATATGTAGCTTGTTTACATACAAGGTCCATTTACACAAAGAGCCGAAACTAATCAAAATACAAATGTGGCTTTGTACAAAATAAAATAATGGCTAGTGGCCAGCCCAGATATTAAATGTTCCTTATTGGGCCTGAGGCTAGATAGTCAGATAGCCCAGCACCTCCTTCAAGTTGGACGGGGAGAACACCTTCAACTTGGACAAGAATGACTGATGGAGCACACCAGGAAGAGACTTGGTGAAGATGTCGGCAAGTTGATTAGAGGTGGAAACATGAAACAGCTGAATCAAGCCATCCGCTAACTTCTTTATGATAAAATGGCAATCCACCTCGATGTGCTTGGTACGCTCATGAAACACCGGATTTCTAGCAATATGAATAGCAGCCTGGTTGTCACAATAAACAGAAACAGGATAAGAAACATGAACAGAAAGACGAGGAAGCAGCCTTGTGAGCCAAGTGAGTTCAGCCACCACTTTGCTCAGTGCCCTGTATTCAGCTTCAGCAGAGGAGAAACATGTTGTTTCTTAGATTTTCGCGCTACCAAGCAGTCACCCAGAAAAACACAAAAACCAGAGACAGACTTGCGAGTATCAGGGCAAGCTGCCCAATCACTATCAGAATAAGTTGTGAGAGTACAATAATGGTACCCTTCAGGTACCTCAACATGTGAAGAGCAGCAGTCATATGAGGCAGTCTTGGAGCTTGTAAAAATTGACTTAAATGTTGTACACCAAAACATAAATCAGGTCTTGTATGAGTCAAGAAGAGAGGCTTGCCAATTAGACTCCTGTACCTTTCAGGATGGGCAAACAACTCACCAGAATCAGCCTTCAACTTGGAATTTAAATCCAAAGGTGAAACAACAGAAGACACCTCCAAACAGTTATATTTTTTAAGTAGATCCAAAACAAATTTTCTCTGATTTAAGAATACACCAGCAGGTGAAGTACTAACCTCAATCCCCAAGAAATAGTGCTAGAAACCCAAATCTTTTATCTTAAAATCATTATCCAAAAACTTCTTAAGAGCAGCAATTTCAACAAGATTGTTTCCTGTCAAGATGATATCATCTACATATACAGCAAGAATGACAATATCACCAGAAGACCCTTTGACAAATAGAGAGTAATCATTTAAGGAATGAGTATACCCTCTGGAACATAAAGCTTGGGACAACTTTGCATACCATTGCCTGGAAGGCTGCTTCAAGCCATAGAGGGATTTCTTTAGTTTGCAAACTAAGGGGGCAGATGAGGAAGAAGAGGAAATTGAAAGACCTTGAGGAAGCTTCATATAAACTTCCTCATGCAGATCACCATGAAGGAAAGCATTATTCACATCAAGCTGCAACATAGACCAACCATGCTTAACAGCAACAGCTATAAGACATTTAACAGTGGACAATTTTACAACAGGTGAAAAGGTTTCAGTGAAATCCACTCCTTCCACCTGTGTATCACCCCTAATCACAAGCCTAGCTTTATATCTCTCTACACTACCATCGGCTCTGTCACGACCCAAATCCACTACCGGTCGCGATGGCGCCGGACACCGTTGTCAGGCAAGCCAACTAAATCCTCTTTTAATACCTTTGAAAATCTAAGGGTTTTCCTTCCATTTTCATATATAAAATAATCTCTGTTTCGATTCAGATTAAGAAATAACTATTAATACACATCTTTCGAAAAACCATCCCAGAACCCGGTGTCACAAGTGCATGAGCAACTACTGATAAGGAAAATAAAATACAATATCTGTCCGAAGTACAGTGGACCGGAAGTAAATAAATAAAGTACGGGAAGGGAACTACACTAGCTGGGCGGGTCGCCTAGAACAATGCAGCTCACATAGTCCCAAACATCCGTGATGCTATCAAATGTAAAAATATACATGTGCAACAAAAATGCACAAAGTGTAGTATGAGTACGTAATCAACGTGTACTCAGTGAGTATCACCGCCTAACCCCGAAGAGGTAGAGACGAGATGGTCAACCTGGACACTCACTGCGGTTCCAATAATAATATACTAAATGTGTGAGGAAATTCATGGATTCATATACAGGTTCTAATCATCCGAAGCTGTAAAACAGGTAAACACCTTTTAACAATTAACAAAGGATTTTCAAGATTTACTCTTTATTAATCTTTTCAATTTTATATCAAGCCACGACGAGCAAATTTTCACGTTTAAAAATTCTCAAGCGACAAATAACATCAGCAAATCACACCGAGGCGACGACCGATCCACAAAATTAAACCTGTGCACTGCGAGGGTCGAACGGCACGAACCATAGATGCATCTATTTAATTCGCGAGGCGTTCGGCCCGTTCCATAAATAAACACATACCCTGCTCGCGAATCAAGCATGCGACGCAGGTACACATAAAATACATGCTCAAGTAGCCAATTAAGAATTTATCGGGGAATAATTATCCAAATAATACCAATTCTCCTTTAACAACCTTTAAGAAATGAAGTTTAGTCCTTTTAGAAATTTACTTACTAATTCAATTGTGATTTTAAGCAATACAGGCTATCCATGGGTTCACAATTAGTCCAAGTATAACATGCTTTTGGGTCCTATCTACCCGGACAATAGCGTAATAGTAGCTACGCACAGGACTCTCGGTCACCTCGTGCGTACGTAGCCCCCACATATAGGAGCACATAATCAATTATTTCACCTAGGGGGTACAATTCCCTCTTACAAGGTTCGAAAGGAACTCACCTCGCTCCGAAGACTCATAATCCGCATTCTACATTCTTCCGAAGGCTTGAACCGACGCACATTGCACCAACCAAACTAGCCAATTAACGACAAACTAATGGAACATACTCGAATACTCGTTAACAATTCAATTATAACAAATTCCCAACTCCGCTTAGTGAAATGACCAAAAATTGCCCTCGGGCCCACTGTGCCGGAATCCGAAATTTTTCGAAGATAAAGCTTACCATGACTTTACTGCTCAAATATACATTTACTCCTAATCCTCATGCTCAAATTCGTGGCTAAATTCCAATTTATAAATTTCTAGGTCTTCTTCTAAAACACCAATTTCCCCCACAATTTTCATGCCAAATCCATGATATAATCTTGTATTTAACTTGGAATGAGTAGGAGTAACTTACCTTGACATAGATGACGAAATCCCGTCTTTGAAGCTCTCCAAAATCGCCAAATGAAGTGAAGAAAAGGGGTGAAATGAGCAAAATCCGACTTTAAAACAACCCCTCCTGCCACAGTGATTTTCGCACCTGCTGGTCACTTTTTCCGCTTCACTCTGCGGCTTCCTTGGGCCTGGCCCCTTCCGCTTCTGCGATATCACTTCCGCAGATGCGGTCCCGCTTCTGCGGAACCTTGACCGCATCTGCGGTCCACGAACCTTCGAACAATTCCGCTTCTGCGGCTCCCTCTACCGCTTCTGCGGGGCCGCTTCTGCGGTCCCATTTACGCAGAAGCGGAAATACCAGCAATCAGCAAACCTCAGCCTTCCCAAAAATCCATTTTCGATCCGTTAACCACCCGAATCCACCCGAGGCCCCCGGGACCCAAACCAATCACACCCACCAGTCCCAAAACACATTACGAACTTGCTCGAGGCCTCAAATCACATCAAACAACGCTAAAATCATGAATCACACCCCAATTCAAGCTTTACGAACTTTAGAATTTCAAACTTCTATTTCCGATGTTTAACCCTATCAAATCACGTCCGATTGACCTCAAATTTTGCACGCAAGTCATATTTGACATTACGGACCTACTGCAACTTCCGGAATCGGATTCCGACCCCGATATCAAAAAGTCAACCTCCGGTCAAACTTCTCAAAAACCTTCAAATTCCTATCTTTAGCCAAATGGCTCCAAAATGACCTACGGACCTCCGAATTCACTTCCGATCGCGCTCCCAACTCCAGAATCACCATACGGAGCTATTCCCAGACTCGGAATCCCAACGGGACATTGATAACACTGAAATGCACTTCAAGCCAAACTTAAGAAATTCCTTCTAAAATGCTAACTTCCACATTAGGCGCCAAAACGCTCCCGGGTTATCCAAAACCCGATCCGGGCATACGCCCAAGTCCGAAATCATCATACGAACCTGCTGGAACCTTCAGATCCCGATTCCGAGGTCGTTTACTCAAAATTCCAATCCTAGTTCATTCTTTCAACTTTAAGCTTCCGAAATGAGGATTCTCTTCCCAAATCAACTCCGAACTTTCCGAAATTCAATTCCGACCACGCGTACAAGTCATAATACCGGAAATGAAGCTGTTCATGGCCTCCGACTGCTGAACGGAGCGCTAGCACTTGAAACGACCGGTCGGGTCGTTACATTCTCTCCCACTTAAACATACGTTCGTCCTCGAACGTGCTGAGAACCATACTGAAGTAGTCTGAAATCACTGTTTAGCACCTCATGCACCGTCCCGTGCTACCACAACTTAGCTGAGCACGCTAGCTCGATAAATTCTGAAGATATTCCCTTTTATTCAAGCAATTAAGCCTTAGAGCCCGATTCCAACATCCGGAATCATATGCCAGGCCTGCTTCCAACATACATCACCATATCAATCACCACACGCTGTACTCAAGCACGATTGCATAACTTTGTTGAATTCACACTTTGCATTACCCACTCGTAGGGCCACAATAACCCTTTTTTTTATCAACTTAGTCAAAATCCTACTAATCTGATGCTCCCATTGCACCCCATGACACATACAGGTCTTACTCTAACCTTTACCATACCGCCATGACGGAAGAGATGTACTAACATTCATAATCAATTGCCGAGTCAACAAAACATTAGGTCTATACTCCTGACAAGGCCTTCACCTAATTCTGAACCCAATAATGGTCTTATCTCCATAACATACCTCATATAGCTGGATTGCACAGAATCCTAGATCAAGGGATCTCGTCTCATCCGATACAACTGCTCAGGCAATAAGCCACCCCAGAAATTGTTAAAATCTCATATGATACTACCCTGCGCCAATAGGCCACCAATTCGAACGCATTGCAAAAGGAAAACGAACTCTGGAAGGAACCTAACTCCCGCACTACTACGGACTTTCCCTAGAAAATAGGAAGCGAAACACACAAATATAGGAAACTACACTCATATCACTCTGTTGCGGCGTGCAACCCGATCCACACAGCATAACCATGGCAGCGTGCCACCCGATCCAAATAACATACCCATGGTGGCGTGCCACCCGATCCAAACGTAGAAATCACATAAGGAGATACGCATCGAGCTAAATTGCTCATTATAATGAATTACCGAATCTCGGTCTCAAGCACTCTAAGTGTATAGTACCATTCCCTGGGGAACACATAGCGCCATAAGCTACAAAACCCAAGCACAACTGAGGTGCGATACAAGATCTAAATCTCGAGAGCCATTCCGCTCACATAACATCATCGCCACGCGGAACCTTAACACATAAGAATTTACCAAGCCGTCTCACCACTCATACGGTGCCATACATCATTACCTGGGATAGCTGATGACAAAATAACACCCCGACTGTCCCTCCATAAGGAACGCTCGCTGAAACATACACAACTGGCCTGATATAAAGCCTTGTTTACATATAAATCAATCCACTGATCCCAAGCCGATTTCTGATTGCACCAGCTTGGCTAATAACCTTTCAAAGGTCCATACTAATTTCCCTCTTCTCATAACACACAAGGACAACCATCATAACCGGAGCGAACCTCCACAGTCCATAACCCAATAAACAGAGTGCCCTCCAGGCATAAATTCTCAATTTAATGATATTACCACAATCCTCATACTTGGTCTAGATCTTAAATCAGTCAAGTGACTTCGTGCCACATTTATGAAACCTTCCTGTGGATACACCCCTCACAACCTGCTATAACAATTTACTGGATCTTACCTCCAACCCACCGACCGCACTAACGCTGAAAAGAGATCAAGAATCATTAACCATGATACAAGCCCTCTTTACAAAAACACCAATCTCAGGTGACGCTAAAGGCAATACCGACTCACTTTAAACACCAAAGCTCCTTTCCTGCTCATCCGAGCCCGTGACATCCTTACCAGCACCAAGCTACAACCTTGATTCTCACTTCGAATTTCTATGCTACTCACTGCACCCAATGTGCCAACATACGATAGAACACGATTTTTAACACTAACATCTTAACACTTCATCCTATAAGAACCTTCTACTTAACTCACTTCTGGAGTGCCATAGCAGCACACAGGCGAATTTTTCATAACCGTAGAATATGCAAATCTCTAAGTAGTGGTCTAAGCCACCATAGCCCCTTCCGGAATCTGCTTCCACACAACAGGCCATAACAATAGAAGGCCTCTGAATAACATC